AAATCTCCATTGTTTTCAAGAGCACCTTTAGACTTGAACTTCTCCACACTACTTCAAGAAAATCACTTCTTGTGGGGAGAGCTTCAGACTCTCTTCTTCTGGACTGCTTCTCCCCCTAAGCAAAATCTCTGAGCCAGGGGCAGTAGATTCCAGTCTTCTTGGCTTGCCTCTTTCAATGTTGAACCTCCATTTCACGAGGGAGTTGGGGCGAAAGAAAGTGGGGTTCAGTGTTCTCCACCCACTGCACCTGGGATAAAGCTTGTGTCCTGTAAGTAGGGGCTGAGTAGAGGAAAGGAGAACCTGACCTCTCAGCTGGAGGCTCTCTAGGAAGTTAGCCTCTGCAACTTGGAGTTAGAGAAGCTAAGAAATGCTGGAGGCCTGACCCTCCTGGCAAGGGACTGTATCCCTTGACTGGGAGCTGAGGGAAGAGGAGAGAGCAGCTCATGGCTCAAGTATAATAGACTCTGACTATTTTTACCGATATTTAGTAGATTTTCTTGAATAAGTGTTTGTTTGCTGTATGCCCTTAGTACAACTTCCAGAGGCTTTAAAAGGTTGTTTTTTAAAATAATTTTCACAAATTATGGCTGCTTCACTGGGGAATGGGTCCCAGTTCCGCTTCTGGAAGTGGAACTCCAACTTCACACTGTTTTTTAATGTAATAAAATATTATGGGCAAGAGAGCTTTTGTAGATATTTAAACATTTCTCAAATTTTATTTTGCCTGTTTCAATTGTCAATCAATATTTTTTAGGGTTCCAATATTTTTAGAAGCCCTTGAAGAGTCCATAAACACTAGGCACAGTATCTACAGAGCCTAACAGAAGAATGACTCAGATGTGGCTAATTCACTTTTGGGGCAGATGAAGTCACTACTCCCAGATTTTATCAGATAGAGCAACATGTCTAGTAATTCCCACTGGGCACATTCCCATCTGAGCAGCAGATACCCTACTCTAATTAGTCCCTCCCTTCAGCATCAACTGCCAAGGCATGGAGACATTTCAGCCACACTCCACTGTAAAATAATGAGCCCTGGGATGAATCACTCAGTTTAGTATTCTTCTGGCTGCCTATTATCAATGCTGATTGGGTCCCAAAGAGTTGATCTGGGTTATAGATCAATATCCTAGAGACTTTATCACCAAAACAGCCACCAATCCAATCTCCAATTATATAAGGAATGTTTCAAAAGATATTCTTTTCTGCTTCACAGTTTGATTGGGTGTAGCCAAACATATGAAACCATTTTAGAACAATGATAAAGATCAAAATGTAAAATAATTATCTCTAATTATGAGGGGATAAGGAGGAATGTGAGCTGGACTGGAAATCTGAAACCTGCATAGGGGATTACTGACATGGACCAGCTCAATGGCTAAGGGTTTCCACTGCGTGGAAGCCCCATGTAAGCCACATGTGTCCTATCTATCAAAATCCCAGAGCAATGTGGGATGCATTAGTATAAAATCCATGTTTACTTAGGCAGCATCTATAAATAGCAGCACAGCAAAAGTTGCAGAGAATTCAAGAACTGAAAGGGATGGGGTGGGGGAAAATCAAACAACTCTTTTCTGACTAATGTGACTCCATAGTCCAGAATATAGGGGAGAGGATGGTCCTACCTGTGTCCTGCATGGGTAAAACATATCTGGACACTGTGTTAACATGTGAACTGCATATTTTATGAGGGTCCCTGACAAACTGACAAAATCCAAAGAAGGGGGCCCCCACAGTGAAACACACATCACATGAAGAACACTTGAAGGACTTCATCTTTTTATTTGAAAAAATGGAGTTTCAGAGACAAAATAGCTATTTATAAATATTTCAGCACTGCCCTTAAGTGTAAAAATTGCCTGCACTCAATACTCCAGCTCCATTCCAAGGCACAACCACTCATTCATCTATTCAGCAAACATTTATTTTGCATCTCCTTAGAGTGAGGCCCTGTGTTAAGTAGCTATCTAAGACACACAGATAAATAATGAAGAGTGTAGAAGCAGAGGTTAAACAAGCACACAAATAACCAAATAACCATAATACAAGGGAGAGTATGATTGGTGTTATGCGAGTAGAACAAAGCTTACTTTGAAATTCTAAGTCAGGAGTCATTGTGTCTTGCTGGCAAGATCAGAAATGGCACTTCAAATTGCGCTTCAAAGGTGTGTACTATTTCTGTGAGGAGAAATATATTATACTAAAGATGCATTCCAGGTGGAGGGAAAAGCAGACATAAAAGCTTAGAGGTAGGAACAGAGTTGATAAACTTAGTGGGACAAAGCTGAAGAAGTGAATCATGCAAGTTGACCGACAATAGGTGTAGAAATCTCAAGTATTAGGGGATAAAGCTAGAACGGTGCCAAATAGTAAAGAGCTTATACTCCAGGCTATAGAGAATGACTGGGTAAGGGTACCATTAAATGCTTTGGAATATAGAGTGCTGTGGGTTTTTTTTTTTTTTTTTTTTTTTGATTCCTGGTATAGATTAGAGGCAGTCACAGAGAGGCAGGAGGTTTGCACAATGGCTAGTCAAAAGGAAATGAAGTCCTGAAGCAGGTTGGAAGCAGGTGGCAATGAGAAGGGACACAAGGGAAGAAACTCCAGAGGTATTTTAGAAATCGAATCACTAGGACCCAGAGCTAATGGAAATATCGGAGGGAACAAGAATGGATGACTTTACTGTCAAGTCTAAGGGATGTGGAAAGAGCAGAAACCCCTGCTGGTGGAGGAACTGATTCAGGGACAGAGGTGGCAGAGTGAATATGGAAGCTCAATGTGGCTACCCTGACAAGTAGCCAGGATAGGACCAGAGGAATGTCCTAACCCACAGCCTTGCTCCAGGCACCTCTCAACCCTTCCCTAACTCACGATCACACCCCTCAGAAGCTGCTTGCCGAGGAAATGTCTGAAAAGAACAGGCAAGCATAGAGCCAGTCCACCCTAGCAGAAGCTCCACTGGCTACTGAGCACAGCCCTCCATGAAGGCAAGAGGCTGTTGCAGAGTTAGAGACTACAGAGATCCCCCAACAGGGCATATGAAGAGCTGCCTTCTGTTCTGGAACCTGACACTCATTAGCCCTGAAACCTTAAAGATCAACCTCTCTGAGTCTCAATTCCTTCATTTGTAAGATGGGGATAATAATGTATATTCCACTCATTTCACAGGTTTATGAGATCACACATAAGGAGACAGAATGTTGCAAAGCACACAAATGCCAGGGATCATTAGAAGTTCTTTGAGAGCAGAAACTACAGCAAATTCATGTATGTACCTTGTATGGAACTGTCTATGGAAGGAGGAATGGAGCAAGGTGGGGCAAGAAAATATCATAGCCTGGGCCCCACAGCTTGGTGGGGAATATCGCCTACTAGATCTTCAAGAACATTCTACATCCAGAGAAACAGGAGGGACCTTAATAATCACCCAGGTCAACCTTCTCATGTAACAGATGGGAGGCTTCACTCTGAGAAAGGCCCAGTGACCTACCCAAGATCTTTAATGGCAGAGTGACCTGGGATATGACAAATAACCAGAACATCTATACAATCACTGTTTGCACAGTGTTTTCCCCCACATTATCTTCCTTATCTTCACATGTTGCCTTTGAGTTGGGAAGTATTATTAAAATCCCTAATTTTCAACCAGAGGCTGAATGACTTGTCAAGGGAAAGATTCAAATCCAGACAGTCATACCCCCAGCCCACTGTTCTTTCTCTATACCACAATTTCATGCACATGCTGGTTTTTAGCACAATCATTTTAGCATTCAGTATATTTCCAACTCTGTTTTATTAGAAGTTCTTTTTCTTATTTCGCCCTGCCTTCAGCAATATGACACATTCAGACTTCCCTGGTAGGATTCTACTGAACTTTCGTCTTAAGAGGTAGCCACATTTGGCACCAGAAACGTTTTTTAATACTGAATTATCCATACTGGGCCTTCCCTTATAAATCGTCTTTACAAAGTATATCCCAAGTGTATCATTCAAGATGTGCATCATTATTACATGAAACACATTGATCTAGCTCACTCAAAAAGCAACAGAGGCCCACTAATTGAAGAAATATTTACCATATAAGTACCAAGAAAGAAGCTTTAACAAATGTGTAGAAAACTGAGGCAAAGAGTTCCTGTCTTTACCAATAAAAACTGATTTGCATTTATGGGAGGGTCTCAAATAGAAGTCAGCAACAGAGAAAAGTATTCCAACAATTCCAGTCGCCCACATCCAAAGTTCTGAACCTGAATGTGTGTCTTTATTGGGGGAAGCCCAGGGAGCGGACTGGAAAAGAAAGTGCTAAGAAAAAATTAACTAGTAATTGTCACAATTTCCTTAGTATATAGGGCCTGTGGTTCCATCACAACCCTTATTTCAGGAACGAGAATGCACGTTTTGCTCCCCTTTTTCAACTTAGGGAAGAGGATTAAAATTGCCCAGTCTTCTTGGGCTTGCAGAGGTTTCCCGTGGGGGTTCACCAGCGGTGTGCTGACACCTCCAGCTGCACAGTAACAGGCCAGACTGCGCAACGACCCTCTAACGCAACCTGCATCTCCCTACATACACTTTCTTACTAAAGAGCCTTCGGTGGCTTGGCAGTAGTTTCTGCTGGAAAACACGAGCAATCGTTCCTCACGTGTCCCCTCCCTTCTCACTACCCCACAAATCACAACATAATTCCCTCCCCCCAGGCCCACCCCGGTCACAAGCGGGTAACGGATCGTAACAGCCCAGTAGCCCTCGTTTAGGGCTCAACGGACTTGAAAACCACCTGGTGAAGGCACCTGCCTCACCGCCTCTCCCGGGCCCCGCCAGGCGTGGGGCCCCCAGGGCCGCCTGTTACTGGCCGCCCCACGCAGTACACGAGGCAGCGCCCGAGGCCTCCCCAGGGAGCGCGCTGCCCCCAGCTGCAGGTGAGGACAGGGGTGACAGAAGCCCAGCGACTATGCCCCACCCTCCATTAATAAAACGCAAGGGGGAAAAAAAGCTTCATTTACCGACATGAGTGATCACGGTGGCCAGTCGCCGGGTGAGCTCCTGGGGGGCCATTTCTTCTTTTAACCAAAACAGCATTTCACTGAAAAAAAACTACTCAGTATAAACAAAGCCAAACAAAACTGTTCGTATTGCTGCTACGGATGATTTTTTAAAAGCACCTCATCCCGAGGATGCTCTGTCCTCACCGTCTTCCTCGCTCTCCTCAGGCACAAAACGATAGTCACTCCCAGCCAAGGCCAACTCTCCTGGGCCGCTAGGCTGTAGCCCGCCAGCCACGCCTTGGAGGGGCTTATTTTAAAGATCAAGTCTGGCGCTGGCGGCTTCCCAAACGTAACAGCTGGCATTTAGAGAGAGGGAAGAGGCAATTCTGAAGGTGAAAAAATTAAGTCGCCCCAATCTCGCCGTAACAGCACCCCGGGCTTCTCTGGCCCAGGGAGCGCCAGGGGGACCTGGATTTGTGGTCCTGGGCCGGCGGGTCTCCGGCGCCGCCTCCAGGGACGCTCGGGATGAAGGATGCTCTGCGGCTCGGAACCTGCGTGCGCCCAGGGCGGAGGAGGGGAAGCGGCTGGCGGCGCTGGCTCCTCTGCGGCGCCCACCTCTTCCCGCCTGCGGGTGGCGCCGGGGGCTCCCGGGGAGGCGCGCACGCGCCCAAGCGCCGCCCGCCTCGGGTTGGAAACGCCGCGCCTCCTCCCCTATCCAGAGCTCGCGGTCCAGCCCCGCGCTGACAGAGGGCGACTCCCGGCCTGTCCCCGGAACCGTGGGGGAGAGAGGACAGCGACGGCGTTCCTGCCAGCACAGGGGTTCGCATCGCCAGACCCGCGCCTTCCGGGTCGCGGCCTCTCCTCCTTCCCCGCCCGAAGCGAGAAGGGGCTGCCTGGAAGAGGTGCTGCCCTCCTGCCAGGACCCGAGGAGTAAGGCTGGGTGAGGCCCTGCTCCCTGCCTCCTGCCCCGGTCTCCTGCCTGCGGGATGCGACGGCTGCTGCGGGGGCGTGGGGCGGTTGGATTGTGTTTCCCCCATTAGGGTTGTCTCACGCGGTTATTGGCCTCCACAGGGCACAGCCGCACTAGAGCCCGGAGCGCAGGCTATGTACCGACAAGGCTGGGCACGCATATGCACACTCAGGTTTCCACCGTGGGGGCCGTTTCCTCTGTGCAGCTGCTCCCCTGTGCCACCGCTCCGTCTGTCACCTGTCAGGCGCGCCAGGGCTCCTTTCTGGAGAGGCTGTGGCGCAGTCCCGATGCTGGGTCTCCTCTCCATCAGCCCCATTATCCCATGGCTTTTTTAGGTGACTTCAGACCCTACGTGACAGGCAGCAAAAGACTAACCCTCCCATTCAGCAGAGCTCCGCGGGGGGAAAATTTGAGCAAACGGAAATTTGGTCGGAGTAGCCCCGAAATCCGAGTGTGGCGTGTTGAATATCCGCAGACCATGAGAATGGCAGGACCACTCACATGTTCTCAGCCATATCTTTCTTCTTCCATATGTAAAAAGCCAAGCCCCAAACACCCTGGATCCGATTTCTAGGAATAGCCACTCATTCCAGAGGGTTGGGGACACTTTTAAAGGCTTTCTAGAACAACAGTTGTGGGCTGTGGTTAAGAAATGATGTTAATCCACCTATGACTTCAGATTTGTAGAGAGGTATGTCCTCCCTGTGAGGTTCGGACACTTTGAACTCTGTCTGCATAAGTAGGGCACCCATTTTCATAGCAACCTCTTGCAAGAGATTCAGAAAAGGGTTAAAGATCCAAAGGAAGTGAAGTAGCTTTAGATTGTGTTTCCATGGTGGTTTCTGGCTATTCGAGGGTCACAAGTGTTTTCCAGGAAACAAATGAGATATTTGCTGTTGATAGTAGTCAGAACCCTGGTGCTCAGTCAGAGGCCACTGTGAGTTTTGGTCACCAGAAACCAGCACATTGCTAAGGACACAGGTGATGTGGGGGCATGCTGATCTGGGAGGATCTGAATTCACTTTGAAGATCCAGAGTCCTCAGCTTTCTCAATTAGGCCACGTCCTTATGAATGAGAATTATGAAAAGAAGAGAGGTAGGGAATGGAGGAGAGGAAATGGATGGAGGAGAAGCTCGTGAATAAAAATAAGAAAGAAACAGAAAGGAAATAAATCACATTCAGAGCACTGCGCTCCTTCCCATGTCTTCTGTACTTTCAGTCTTCAAAGGTTTCCAAGGAGATAAATTAGTTCAATTTATGGTAAGATGTAGCAGGCAGTGCCTACCCTCAGAAGCTAATTCTGCCCACATCTCTAACACTTGCTGTCTCAGTGCCTTGACTACTTCACCTGGGCAGTGAGGAGTGTGTCTGTAAGCTCCAAGTTCCCTTTTTCAGCTCTGAAATCTTATAACTGGAATTATGAAGAAATGACCACACAGTAAGTGTTCAATAGCCCATGCCTCCTATTCTTCCAAGAACATGGTCATTGCTCTCATGAATACTGACATCCTTTCTGCCTTCTCTCCTTCCTTCCCACCCTCCCCTCTTCCCTGCCTCCTTTTCTTCTTTGTAATTATGATATCTTTTCTGTCTCCTTGTGCTGTGGGTTGAATGTGTCCTCCAAAGTTCACGCATTGGGAACTTAATCCCCAGTGCAACAGTGTTGAGAGGGAGGACCTGTAAGAGGTGATTAGCTCTCTAGGGCTCTGCCTTATTGAATGGATTAATGCTGTTATCACAGGAGTGGGTTCCTGATAAAAGGATGAATCGGGTCCCCTTCTCTCTCCCTCTCACCCATGTGATGCCTTCTGCAATTTTATGATGCAGCAAGATGGCCATCACCAGATGCTGCCCCTCAATCTTGAACCTCCCAGCCTCCAGAACTGTGAGCCAAATGAATTTCTGTTCATTATAAATTACCCAGTCTGTGGTATTGTTATAGCAGCACAAAATGCACTAAGACACCTTGGCTGGCAAAATCAGAGAAACAAGCTAGAATACCCTAACTGCCTCTCTAGTGAATCAGTTAACAATCATTCACATCTATTGAACATCTGTTATGGTTGTGATTGGCAGTGTCAGGTATAGCAACTACCTCCACCAGATAACAAGTGACTGCTCTGTGCCTGGCATTTTACAAATATCATTTAGGTCTGACAACAAACCTTTAAGGGCTTAACTTAGAAAGAGAAACCATCCTCCAAGCACTGTCAAGGCAGATTCCATCCGCTGTGGGTAGACTGTCTGTCAGCGCAGCCTCTGATGAAAGAGAGAAAGACAAAGGACCTACCTTGGACAGTAACAATTGTCATTTTGGCCTCCTCAGTTTCTGGTGCCACAGGTGAGGGTGGGGATGCCTGGAGCACCATGGGGCCCCTAGTTTAGTCTATATCAGTGGTTCTCAAATGTTAGCAGAATCACCTGGGAATAGAGGTAATTTTTATGAAAATGTAGATTCCTGGGCCCCACCTCCAGAAATTCTGATTTAGTAGTCTGGGGTGGGACCTGAGAACTTACATTTCTAACAAATCCCTAGGAATATTGGTGCTGCTGGTCCTAAGACCACACTTTGAGCACCACTGGTCTAGGCCAGAGATCTTCAAAGGCCAGAGATCAGCAGTCCCCAACATTTCTAGCACCAGAGACCAGTTTCAGGGAAGACAATTTTTCCGCAGACTGGGGAGTGGGGAGATGGTTTCAGGGTGATTCAAGCACATTACATTTATTGTGTACTTTATTTCTATTATTATAACATTGTAATGTATAATGAAATAATTATACAACTCACCATAGGTTGGGGGCCCCTGCTTCATAATAAACTGGTAACAATAACTAAAGCACTTTCCTGAGTTCTGTGAGTCATTCTAGCAAATTAGCAAACCTGAGGGAAAGGTTATGAGAACTCCAAATTTATAGCCAACAGGGAAGTACAGGAGTCTGAAGACTTGCAACTGATGTCTGAAGTGGAGGGCAGTCTTATGATAATAAGCCGTTTCTCTGCGGGGTCTATGCTAACTCCAGATAGTTAGTGTCAGAGTTGAATTGAATTGTTGGACATTCAGTTGGTGTCAGAGAGTGAAAAGTGATGTTGGAAAAGACACCCCCTACTCCACAGGTGATTGGATAGGCAAACCCAAGAAATGAAAAAGTCTCTCGAGCTCACACCATCCTAACAGTCATTCCACTGTCATCTTTCTGTTTCCCAAAATCAGCCTGCCACCCTGGCATACAGGTATATGTGTGCATGTATGTGTGTACCCATGGAAATGGGGGGTCACCCACCTGCCTCTACCTCTGCTCTTCACTCTCTTTTCCCATGTTTCCTTTTGGGGTTTTATCTCAGCCTACAAGTGACTGTTACAACACAAATTGAATTCCTAACCTGAAAAGATTTCTACTGTTAAAGTGAGCACATTGATTGAAAAGAATGGGATTCTGAAAGTTGGAATAGGGACACATGGAGCTGGGACATTTTGCACCTACATTCTCATTAGTCTTCTTTGCCAGGAGCAGTAGCCTCTCCACCTCCATGTAGGGGATTTATCCTGCATTGCCTGAAGAAACTGTGATGGTCTCCTCTGAGGCAGTTGCCATGGAAAACAATGTTGATTCTCTTCAGGATCCACCTCCACCATCCCTCTTTGATTCTAGACCTATAACTAGACTCAAGTCCCAGAAGCCCCCTAAAGGTGAATTACAAAGCCATAGCCCATGAGGAAGTACACTACACTTCAGATGAATTACTTGGGTTCTCTAATTTATACAGACAAAAATCTGGGAAATATGTGTGGGAATGGACATTAAGGGTGTGAGATAACGGTAGAAGGAACGTAAAGTTGGGCAGGTGGGCAGGCTGAATTTATTGATATGGGCCCACTACACAGAGATTCTGCATTGAATGTTGTAGCTTAGTATGTTAGAAATGGCTCTAACGGTATGTTCAGTTGGTTGGCTGAAGCATGGACCAAAAGGTGGCACATGTGTTCAACATATGCTCATACGTTGAAATCCTAACCCCCAAACTGAGTTAGAAATGCCTGGCCTGTCTGGGTTTCATGTAGAGGAAGGTATTCAAAGGCTTAGGGAGATTGGAATGTTAGAGTGGATTGGTCATTTTGCACCT